AAGTTTCCTTCAAAGAATTTATAATTAACATAAATAAACAAAACTTTTGAAAGATAAATTTTGCAACTTGAAAATTTTTTTTTATCAAAATTGAAAAATATTTCCACAAAGTTAGTTTCCATTTCTGCTTTTTTTAATTTATAACCAGCTAAAATATTTAATATTAAAATAAAATTTTGGTCACAAAAGTAAGGAATTAAGGTGTCTATAAATTCTTTGATATGAGGATTTGAATCACTTTTGTTCAAATGAAAACCACGAAGGTCTAATTTAAAACTTAAAAGAGACGTTAGCTCGATGGGTAAATAAGCAGGACAAAAATCTGCATATTCTCTATCTATATTTAATAATTTTACCAAAGATTTTAAATCTTTTTTAAAATCTTCTTTTTCCATTGAACTTTCATTAAAGTTTTCTAAAATATCAGCAATTTTTTGAAATATTTCTAGTTTTATTTTTCTGAAAAAATCTTTATATTTTTGAAACATTTTGATAGTTTGTAAAACAAATATACCCATTTCATCAGAACTAATCTTTCGTGGTGTGAGAGTTTTGTTGCTTTGTCTTTTCTTTCTATCAGACAATTTTAAACACAATGTAATACATAAATAAACCCCAAAGAAAATTGCAATGAGGCAAAGAAAGGTTTTAAGTAAAGCTTTAGTATTCATGGGGTAAAATTTTTTTTTCTTTTTTAGTTGTAATTGAAAAGGAATATTAATTTTAGATAATAAACCAAAAGAGTTTATTAGTAAAGTAGATTACATTCTTAAATTAATTTAGTAAATTAAAATTTTTTTTTACAAAATAAAAAAAAAAGAAGAAATAAAACTTGCGGTTTAAAAAAATTTGGCTATTACAATAATAAACCAGATAATAAATATAAGTGTATTAATATATAAAATACTAAAGAACATCTGAAAAGAATACAAAATATATTATTTTTAAAAATTTAAAAAATAAAATGTGAATTTCAATATGTTTTATTTGGTTTAATAAATCACAATTTTGACATTAAGTAGAAAAATGTGATTCTTAATTTATTTTAATAAAAAAGTATTTATTTTTTAGGAAAAATTTACTTAAAAAGGAAGCGTTGTTTTTAATTTTATTTGGAAATTTTTCAATAAACTCTCTTTTCTAGATTGTTAAATCTTATCAATAAAAACTAGTNTTAACAACCTTTACAACAACGTAATAAACAAACTTGAGTCTCTGAATTTAACTTTGATAATTCTCTTACTAATCTTATAATCTTCTTAGTGATCAAAGTATTTTTTTTAATAATGTTTTCTTCAATTTGAAAATAAATCATCAATACATGGCAATATTTGTTGTAAAAAAACCTAATCAATAATAAAATTGCGATATAATCTATTCCTATATAATTTAATGTAGCTTAAGATGTAAAACTTTTTATACTCTAAAACTTATTGACGTAAACTATATTGATAGCCTAAATCTACCTTACCTTGCAGGTTTAAATAACTGAATTAATTCTTCTACACTCTTGTAAATGTTTTTAATTCTAAAATTTCTTTATAGAATCAATAAAATTATTTTTTAATAATTTATTTCATTCTTTTTAATATATTACAAACTAAATTATTTTATTACTAAATTATTAAAATTTTATTTTTTTGAATTTTTTATTAAATTAATTTTAAAAATAAATCCCATGAACTTCGACACAGAAAGAATTTCTTCAATTGATCTTTTGACAAATGAACCATCGTACAACGAAGAAAGCATAAAAATTGAGTTTTTAAAATTCATTGAAGAATACAAAAACGAAGATACCTTTCCCTACAGAACACTTCACACTGATAACTTAAACATTAACCTTGATGACTTATTCAAATTTAACAAAACACTCTCTTCAGTGCTTATAAAAAATCCTTTGGATATTTTAAGACTTTTTGAACAAAGTTTACAACAAAAATTTAACAAACAAATTTTTATAAGTTTAAATTCTTCAAGAAATTTAATCAGCATAAACTCACTGGGAAGTAAAGAAGTAAATGAAATGGTTAAAGTAAAAGGAATTGTAATCAGCACAGGTGTGCCTTTTATCAAACCACTTTCTCTTTTTTTGGTTTGTAAGAGCTGTTTGGTAAGCAAAATGAGTGATTCTCTTCTTAGAACCTGTACACCTCAATGTGGGTTAGATTCTTATATGATTGTACCTGAGAAAAGTAAAGTAGTGGATTGTCAGTACATTAAAATACAAGAAGAAAATAAAGTTGTAAACAGACACATGACTTTGTTTATGCAAGGTAATTTTGTAGACAAAGTCAAAACAGGGGCTATGATAGAAGTGACAGGTATTTTTATGCACAGTGACACAAACACTTTTATAAAAGTTTTAGGAGTACAAAATAGCATAAAACAAGAAGAAAGCAAAGTGAACTTAGACAACCTTGATCCACTTAAATTCATTAAATCAATAGCACCATCCATTTATGGCTATGATGATATTAAAAAAGTAATAGCATGTATGCTTGTAGGAGGTGTGCCTAAAGAAAGTAGTAATACTAAAACAAGGGGTAGCATTAATGTACTTCTTTTAGGAGATCCAGGAATAGCAAAAAGTCAATTTTTAAAATTTGTAAGCAAAGTTTCTCCCATAGGTGTTTATACTTCAGGAAAAGGATGTTCAGCAGCAGGATTGACTGCTTCAGTACTTAAAGATAGTAATGGATTTTACCTAGAGGCTGGTGCTTTAGTGTTAGCAGATGGTGGAGTGTGTTGTATTGACGAATTTGATAAAATGAATGAAAATGACAGAGTAGCCATTCATGAGGCAATGGAACAACAAACAATTTCAGTGTCTAAAGCAGGTATTAATACTACACTTAATTGTAGAAGTGCTGTGCTTGCAGCAGCCAATCCTATTTTTGGGAGGTATGATGAATATAAAACACCAGGAGAAAATATTTCTTTTAGTAACACAATTCTTTCCAGGTTTGATTGTATTTTTATTTTAAAAGATTTTTATTCTTTAGAAAATGATACTTTAATAGCCAATCATATTTTAAATAATAATTCAGAAAAAGAAAATTTAGAAAATAAGTTAATTTTNAACATTGAAGAAATGAAAGAATTTATTTTGAAAGCTAAGAAAATAAAACCAGTTTTTTCGAAAGAAAGTAGTAAAAAATTAACAAAATATTTTTGTGAGACAAGAAAAAAAGTAAGAAATATGGAATATTTACTTAAAGAAAAGACTATTCCTATTACCGTAAGACAATTAGAAGCAATTATTAGAATAAGTGAAGCTTTAGCTAAAATAGAATTTAAAGATGAAGTATCAGTAAACCACGTAGATGAAGCTATAAGATTATTTAATGTTTCTACACTCAATGCTGTCAGTCAAGGTCATTACTTAGAAGGAATGATCAGACCTGAATTTATGAATGTTATTGATAAAATCACAGAAAAAATTTATTCTTTTTTACCTATTGGCTGTGCTAAACCACTTTTTTCTGTTTATAAAGAATGTAAAGATTTTAATGAAGGAATGATTGGTAAATGTGTTGATTTTCTTGTAAAAAGTGGTAAAATTGTTCTTAAAGAAAATAATAAAATTGTGGTAAGAGTACCTTAATAAATGAAATTATTAATTATTAAAATANTTATTATAATTAAATAAAAAAAGAGATTTTTACATTCTGAAAAAAGTAATATTTATTTTTAATTTTAATTTAATTATAATATAAGAAAATTAATTAAATAATAAATTACTAAATAAATAATAAATTAATAATTAAATTATGAATTATTAATAGAAAAATATCAATTTAACCATGATATTTTAAAAAATAAATAAAAATACAATATTATATCTTTAATGACCTTAAAACCTACCATAAGGGTATCCTCTTCCAGCTAAAGCTGCAGCTCNAGCCCTAGCACTAGGTAACAATGGATCATAACCTCTTCCTAATGGTGAAAGGAGTGGATCAGCAACTGGAGGGGTATAAGGGTAGAGTGAGCTTTGTTTCAGATCATCCATAGCATATCCACCATATCCAGCCCTACAATTGATTATTCCAAGTAACATTGCTAAAACAGTATATACCAACTTCATTAGTGCTACTAAATCAATGCTTTTATACTTTACATTAAACAAATTTGTATGAAACAAAAGTCTATTTTTTTAAAAAATTAAATATGTGAAACATGAATTAACGAATAAAAAATAATAAATTTTATGTTTTAAAAATCATGTCAATTTCAAAAATGTCAAAAAAAATACATTCTTTTACTTATTTTACTTTTTTACTTGGTTTATTTTATTTATTCAATTTATTTTATTTTAAAGCTAAAAATTNTTAAATTAAAAGTATTTTAATTAATCTTCATATTCCAAACCAATAATCTTACAAAAATCTCTTAATAATTTTTCAACACTACTTTCATTATACAAAACAAAATCAAAAAATTTACTTGTAAAGAATAATTCATCCTTTTCATATTCCTTAATCCTCCTATCAATATCCAAGCAATGCTCATTTTTAAGGTTATGTTTTCCAATTCTTTCTTTCAAATTTTCTTTTAGTTTATGCTTGGTGCANAAAATAGAAACATAAACACCTTCTAAATTATTCTTTCTTGCCGCTTCAATGCCAACCCTTCCTAAATCAAACACTGTACATTTATCAGAAGATTTTAACTCATCAAAAGATGTGCCATAGTATTCGTTATTAAATATTTGGTACTCGTACATTTCATTGTTATTTATTTTTTTTAAAAATTCTTCTTTTGTAATAAAATGGTATTCTTTATGGTTTATTTCTTGATTTCTTTTTTCACGTGTAGTATGACTTACACTCAGCTTAAATCTAAAAGGATGTTTAGTTAGTAAATAATTAATGACAGTAGATTTTCCTGAACCACTCGGTCCACTGATAAATATTCTTTTGTAAAGCATGATAATATATTTTTTTACTATTTAAATATAAAAAGTCTTAATATTTTAAATATACTCCTGATGAATTGGGGAATTAGCTCAGCGGTAGAGCGCTTGATCCGCAATTAAGAGGTCGCGGGTTCAAATCCTGTATTCTCCATTTTTAAAAAATTTTTAATTATTTTATTTATTTATTCTGTGTAGACTGTTGTGACATTTGACTCCATTCTGTTCTTTAGTTCATCAAAAATAAAAGACAGCTCTTTTACATCTGACAGTAAATCCATAAACTTATAAAAATAGTCATCAAACACATCAAACAACATGCAATAACTAGTTTTTATTGCATTATAATCATTAAATGAGAGTGTAACAAAGATAAAATCATCCAAATACTCAAATTTTCTTTGATTGATGAGTATCTTAGCCCATAAATAATAAATTTCCACAGCATTTCTCTCATCAATGCATAGCTTCATAAGTGTTATAACATCTCTGTAAGTTCTACTGTCAGTGTAAACAATACTATCCAAATAAACAAATGATTCAAGTGTCTCTAACACTGATACTCTGTTAATTAAGTTTTCTTTTATTTTTTCAATGTAACTTTCGTAATTCTTATTCACATTTCTGTCATTCTTTATCTCACTATTCAGCTGTAAGACTGTCATAAGGGGATTATTTTTTTTCTTTTATATTTTATTTTATTACATGTCACAGGTTAATTTGTGATTGTTTGATAAAATTTTATTAAAAATTTGTGTTTTAAAAAATTAAAATTTGTTTATAAACGCATAAATTAAAAGAATTTAGTCAGCTCTTTTTAAAGGACCTAAATGGGAGAACATTTTTCCCCTGTAAAAATCCTTTCTNATNATTTGATCAGTTTGTTTATTCTCCTCAAAANTAAATTCATAATCACCGTAAACATTTTTGTCATATTCTTTTTTGTTACATTTAAATATCAAAAAATAAACAAATTCAATTGGAGCATCAGTTTTAAATGAATTTAATTTACAATGAGTCAATGAAACTTTATAGTTAGAATTTAACAAACCATTTACTATTTTTCTAAGAGGAGGAGTACAACATTTTATTACTTTGCTTAAGTCATTTAAGTGATAAAAAAACAAAAAATTTTCTTCGGTAAGCATAATATTTAAAAATCCTAAAATTCTTTCTTCTAACTCATTTTTTAAAATTTCTTTAATAAAATCTTTGTTGTAAAGGGGGTTGTTCCAAAATGGACCACACAATTTCATGCTTTTTTTGCAAATTTTGCATGAATTGTTTATTTCTTTTTCATTCATTTTTATTTCAATTTTGTTGTAACATTCACAAAAAAAGTAAAAAGAATTGTCAGTAAAGCACCTTTTTGCCAAACTTTCACTTTTTTTAACTCTTAAAAAAAGTCTAACATAAAAATCTGCTGAAATACTAACCAATGGTTCAATACTACAATTATTTCTTGCTGCACACCTAGAAATAAATGATAAAAGTGTTCTTAAAGCTACTTCGTGACAACTACTTTCTCTTACTATCAAAGTTTCNTATTTACTAAAACATTTTANCCTTTGAGAACAAAGTACTNCTGTATCAGTAGAAGTTACACAAAGTAATCCATTGTGTTTTATAGATTTTAAAGCACTGTCTATAAAAATATTGCATGAACCATAAGGATCTAAGTCTATTACATTAAAAAATGATTTATTTTCATTCATTAATAAAATACAGTCCTTTTGGCTGACAGATACATTTTTTATTTCATTGAATTTTAAATTTTGTTTGATTTCTTTGACACTTTCTTCAGAAATATCATTCATAAAAACAGTTGGGTTGTTTATTAATTCTTTAGCATAACGTATTCCTCTTAAGCCAGTAGCAGACATTGCTTCTAATACTTTTGGATTTTCTAATGTTTTTAAATAAGTGTTAATTACTAAGACTGAAATATCTCTATTAAATTTTTGTGCTGGGTTATAAAATGTTTTGTTTGANNNNAATATTTTTATTCCTTCAATTTCTACAATTTCATTTTCACACATAAAAAATTTTATTTTATTTTTTTTATTATTTTTTATTTTTGAAAATTTAATGAGCAAAAAATTGGAAAACTTTCATTTAAAATTAAAAGATGAGTTTAAAGAATATTTATGTCAATTTAATTTACTTTTTTATGGCTACGGCTGCAAAAAAGAACTGCTAAAGAAGATATTTCCTAAAGTACCTATTATCAATGGTTTAACTGACTCAGTTGACTCTGTCATAGAATTTTATTCTAAAAAATACAAATTAAACAGATCAGAAAATAAAATATTAGGTTTGCATAAAGCATTAACTGACCAAGAAAAAAATGAAAAAATAATTATTTTAAATTTTTGTTTTGATAAATTTTCTGAGTTAAAGCAAATAAAACCATTGAGGATCATTGGAACAATAGAAAGAATTGACTTTTCTTTTTCACATCAAGATTTGCTAGATTTTAATTTTATTTTTAGAGATTTAACTACTTTTATTTCTTATAAAGAAGAGTTTGTAGAAAAGAAGCATAAATTAGAAATTGACAAATTTAAAACATTGGAAAATGTTTTTTTGAATGTTCAGAAACAATCACAAATTGTTTTTATTGATTTAATAAGACTATTTAATAAAAATAAGTCAGTTTATTTAAAAGATTTGATTGACAGTTTGAAAAGTAAATTAATGCATAAAGAAAAAAATAAATATTTAAATTTGCTGACTGAATTTGTTGACCATAAAATTATAAAAATTGGCAAAGAAGAAATAATTGGTTTTAAAGTAAAATTGAACATTTTGACAGATTTTTATGAGAAATACAAAGAATTTAACATTTATAAATAAATTTTATTAAATTACCACTCTAAGACTTCTTTCTTTTTTTCTTTTTTCTTAATAATTTCACTGTCATCACTCTCTTCAAACAAGTAAGATACTTTTCTTTCGTGTTTTTCTTTCATTTCTTTACCAAATANTCCTTCTTTTAATCTTTCATACAGCTCTTCTTCCATATTTTTTTCAAATTTTACTTTATTCAATGCTTTCTTTGATCTCAATTTTTCCAATCTATTTTTACCTTTACACACTGCAGTGACTATAATTTTCTCTCTTATACTCTTCTTTCTTTCCAAATATTGTGTTAGTTTAGTAAGCCTTTGCTTACATTTATGAACTAAAAATGGATCAAAATTAGCCAATCTTTCTTCAATCATCTTCAAAGCTTCATTGTACTCTTTGCTAAGTTCTATTTTCTCATACATGTTAACTGGTTCATGTATCCTTTCTGGTGTTTTGATGTATAAAAATAAGATGTCATTTTCTTCTCTCACGGTAGCATAAAATGAATTGGAAAGAGGACAAGAATGTTCTGTGCATAAACCAGATACATTATTTTTGTTTTTACAAAATGTGTCAAATTGTGTTTTTAATTTGTAAGAACAAAATTTTTTACCTCCAATGGTTTGCCAGATACTTTTGTCTTGCATTTAAAGGACTAAGTAAAATAAAAAAATATTAAATTTAATTTAGAAAATAAAAAAATAAAACAGAAAAATAAATTTTAAATACGAAAATTGATAAAAATAAATTAAATTTTAAAAACATTTTAAATTGACATTCTCATAATTTATAAATTGTAAGCATTACAATTTCTACTTCTCCTGTTAATTTTTATTAGAGAACTAAAAAAGAAATAATAAAAATAATTAAATGAAAAAATATTTAATTTAAATATTTTCATGAAAAAAGCACGAATACTTTTAGATGAACTTTTAGGTCCTAACAGAAATTTGATAAACAAACAAAAATATTGTAAAAATAAACATTCCTCAGTATGTAAATACATGTTAGCTTCATTCTGTCCATACACATTACTCCAATCAATAAAGTTTACTTCTTTACAATGTAAATTTACCAACCATGATAAAGGATTTATAAAATTGTATGAAGAAAGTGGTAAACCTTTTCTAAAAGAATTTGAATCTGATTTGCTCAGAGAGTTGAAATGTTTTTACTCGGATTTTAAAAACAAATTAAAAATAAAAAATTTAATTTATGAATTAAAAATGAAAGAAAAATTGAAAGAAATTAATAAAATAATAAAAGAAAATAAATTAGAAAATGAAGTTTTTTTGGTGATGCATAAATTTACAGAATATAAAAAATTGGAAAATGAATTGTATCTGCAAAATGACACTTTTGTTTGTGTATGTGGGAAGGAAATGAGTAAAGATTTGATAGAAGAGTATTATTATAAGCATAAAAATGGGAAATATCATAAAGGAATGGTTTACTTTTTAGATAAGTTTAATGAATTATTGATGAAGTGTGAATTTAATTAAAATTTAATTTTATTGACAATTTTATTTAGAATATTTCTACCATTAGTTTATGCTTGATTGCATGAAATGTAATGTTTGCACATTTTTCATTTTTTCTGATTGTAACTGGTTTATCACCAAAATTATAGAGCATTACAATTATTTCACCTCTGTAGTCTGAGTCTACTACACCTGCTAATGTTTGTAATGAATCATTCTCATAATTTATAAATGCAAAGTAATTTTCATTAAATTCCATTCTGATCCCTGTTTTTACCTTGTTTTGAGTGTCGGGATGTATTGTAATTTCTTCAAGGGCGTATATTTCATATTCTCCGTTTACCAATTTAATTGGTTTTACTTCAGGACAGGCTCTTAAAATTTTAAATTTCATTTTAGGGATAAAAAAGAATTTTATTATTTTTATTTTTTCTTATTTTTATTATTTTTTTATTTTTTTATTATTTTTATTACTTTTTATAAAAAATTTATTTTTAAATTAAATCATGATTTGATTTTCTAGGTGTTTTATCAAAATCACTGGTAGATTTCTGTTTCTTTATTCCCAAAAATTCTTGTAAAGTAAAGCCAGGTTCACTAAAACAAAGCAAAGTAATAGCAAAAATTTGTTCAAGTTTTTCTTCACACTTAGTCCCATCAATTATATGTCCTTCTGTCATGCTCAATAAATTAGACACAGTCAAGCAATTTCCATCAGATGATTTTATCAAGAACCCATCCTCTACTTCAACAATATCAAAAGAAAAGCCAACATCATCTTCTTCTAAATCTTTTGCTTCTAAAGTGGTTGATTTGGGTGGTT